GAGTGGTACACTCAGTTTTGAGGGTCACGGAGTACTGCTCGATGTCAGTACGTCATTCGCACTGGTGCTCGGACTGGTGAGCGTTGCGTGACGTTCGGTCACACTGAGTCCCGTTGCTTCGCTCGTCTGAACGACGCCTGACGTACGGAGTTTGGCGACGCGGCTGAGCTGGGTGCAGCTGCTTGGGCAGAGGGTAGGTATCTATACTCTTGACTATGATGCTATCCTCACTGCCATGTATGCATTGCCTACTAGTGATGAGGGTGATTGTTACCTGTGTGTTCCACCTGACCCGGGCATTGAGGCTGCTGCGGTGCCGGTGAGGCAGCTGCTCTAGGAGCCTTTGCATATGCTACTCCAGGTATTGGTGAGTCTGCTGCCCCAGGTGGTAGTGAGTCTACTCTCTCAGGCTCCACGTCGGTTAAGGTTTTGCACACCTTCACCCTTGACTCGGGTGCTTCCCGCTCCTTCTTTCGAGACCGCACCACACTCACGCCACTTAGTCGGCCGGTTGCAGTCTCCCTGGCGGACCCCTCTAGCGGTCCCGTCCTTGCCCACTTCTCCACTGTCTTACCGTGTCCGGCGGCCCCTTCTGGCACCCTGTCAGGTCTTTACCTCCCCTCGTTCTCTACGAACTTGGTGAGTGGTGCTGACCTACACGATGGAGGGGTTGACTAGTTCACTCCTGCGAGTCAGCGTGTGACCCACTGCACGGACGCTCGGACGAGCCAACACTTGGCCACGATTACCCATCAACCGACGTCGAGCCTGTACACACTTCCTACTGAGTCTCCTTCGGTTGCTGCGTCTGGTCAGGTAGCTGCGTCGGGTCAGGTGCTTGCTGCAGCGTCCAGGTCTGGTCGTCAGTCTGCCCCCTGCTCGTGTCGTCTCCTGTCCCACCAGACTCTTCGTTGGCACCACCACCTTGGTCAGGCGCGCCGCTCCTCACTCTTCCGAGTTTCCTCCGACAGAGGCTCCGCTACAGACACTTCACGGACGTCCTTGAGGATAGGCAGGAGGAGTTCCAGTGTTTTGCTCCTGCTTTGCCTCGTCTCGTGTCCATGCTGATTGCCCCTTAGGGAGACCCGGATGCACCAGACATCCCGACTGCACGCTCTTACGCAGAGGCGATAGAGGGTCCCTACTCCTCTCAGTGGTAGTCCACATGCACCTATGTCGACGAGGTTCCCCCACCTGGGGCAAACATCGTCAGTGGTATGTGGATTTTCAGGGTGAAGCGGCCGCCGGGTTCTCCGCCTGTCTTCAAGGCGCGTTACGTGGCTCGAGGTTCAGACAGCGGCAGGGAGTTGACTACTTGCACACCTTCTCTCCCACCCCGAAGATGACCACTCTTCGGGTGCTGCTGCACATAGCCGCTCAGCGCGACTACGAGCTTCACTCTCTTGACTTCAGCACAGCTTGGTCAGGCTTGGGGCTAGTGCCTAGAGGGCGGCGTTCAGTGGTCCTCACTGGGCACGCAGACGCTTCTTGGGCTGACGACCAGGCTACGCAGCGGTCTTCACAGGGTTACACCTTCAGCCTTGGTTTCGGCTCTGTTTCGTGGCGGTCTACTCGCTCATCTTCTGTTCTCGGCTCCAGCTGTGAGGTTGGGATCTACGCAGGGGCCATGGCTGCACAAGAGCTACGCTGGCTCACCTACCTGCTGACTGACCTAAGAGAGCCGCCTCGTTCTCCTCCAGTTTTGTACGTAGATAACAAGGCCATGCTGGCCTTGTGTCGGGAGCACAGACTGGAGCACAGAACGAAGCACATTGCTCTTCGCTACTTCCTTGCTCGTGAGCTGCAGCAGCGTGGTCAGCTGCGTCTTGCCTACGTGGCCTCTCATGCCAACACTGCTGATATCTTTACCAAGGCACTTCAGCCTTGTGATCATCAGCGCTTTTGTACGATGCTAGGTCTTTTACCTACTTGGCCTCACTTGCTCACTTCTTGACCTTGCTTGTACTGTGATTTATCTATACCTGCACTTGCTTGTTTACCTTTATATATAATCTTGCATGTGAACTGGCCTTGTGGCCTTGAACTTGTGCTCGGAATGTGTGGTGATGTTGTGATCCACCCTAAGCTTGCTATGCTTTGCTTGACTGATCTTGTGACCTCTAGTTCTCCCCCACTTTGCTTATGGGGGTGTGTCAAACTTTAATGCTATAGTCTGTGTAGGCTGTACTGAAGTAGATTATATGGGGTACAACACTTTTAGGTTTTCCTACTTGTACCCACCTGTTTCCTAGTGCATTCATTTCCTTGTTCTTTCACACAGATGACCATGAACGAGGGGTTTAGGCCAATTTTAGATAAATGCGTGATAGTTTACCTCAACGACATCCTCGTCTACAGTCGCGACAAGCAGCAACACTTAGCGGATCTCGAGCAGTGTTTAAGATTTTAGAGGAGCATCGGCTACTGACCAAAGGTTCTAAGTGCAAGTTTTTTCGGGACTGGCTAGAGTTTTTGGGGCACGTTATTTCGAAGGCTGGGGTTGAGATTGACCCGAAGAAGCTGGACACAGTCAAAGCCTGGCAACCCCCGACAAACATCACGGAGCTGCAGAGTTTTTTGGGGTTCGTTAATTACGTCTGTCGGTTCGTCCCACGACAGATTCGCTGGCTTGATTTCCTCGAGTTCAACTTTCACTACACGGTCACTTATAAAAAGGGAGCCTCGAACATCGCCGATGCTCTGACCCGCCCACTGCTCAGATCCACGCAATACTACTCGCCCAGACAAGCCCGCTACTGATAGGCCTATTCACCCACGGGTACCAAACGGATCCATTCTTCACAAGAGGAAATTCGCAGCGGTTCGTGTCAGAATGTTATCTTATGCTCTAGCCTGTAGTGGGGGGCTCTATAGCGAGTACAACCCTTCTAGGGTTTCCTATTTGTATCCCCATTCTTGCTAGTGCTGCCCTCTTCTCTCTTCTAACTTTCACAGTTCGCAGCAGCACAGGGAGTCTATTACGTAAAAACCGGGGCTGACCGCATTTGGGTGCCTGGGTATACACTGCTTCGGGAATTACTATTATGGGAGGCACACGACGGAGTTACCTCGGGGCATTTCGCAGTAGAAAAAACACGGCAGCAGCTGTAGCGGTATTATTACTGGCCCGAAATGTTGACCGACGTACAACGACACGTGGCATTGTGTCCCACTTGTCAGCTCATGAAATCATCACGACAGCGACCGGCGGGACAGTTGCAGCCGATACCAACCCCAGAACGTGCTTGGCAGCAGGTGACGATGGACATTGTCACGGGGTTACCAGCCGTGGCAAGTGGGAACGACGCGATCCTGGTCGTCGTCGATCGACTGGCGAAAATGGCACATTTCGCAGCCTGCAAACAATCAATCACAGCCGAAGAAACAGCACGCCTCTTCATCTCTACCGTCGTTCGACTGCATGGGATACCAGCCGCGATCATTAGCGACCGCGATACGAAATTCACGAGCAACTTCTGGCGGAACCTGTGGCAGCAATTCGGCACGCGACTACAATTCAGTTCATCATACCACCCCGAAACCGACGGACAGACAGAACGGACGAATCAGACCATGGAACAGCTCATCAGGGCCACGTGGGACAACTCGACCATGTGGGAACAGCAACTGCCACTAATCGAATTCGCGTACAACAACTCGCCATCTGCCACGACCCAACAGTCACCATTTTACCTAAACTACGGACAAGACCCGACAGTACCCATGACCCCGAATCCCGACAACCTAGTACCACGAGCACAACTGTTCGCCAAAATATTACAAGCAGCACGGACCCGGGCAGTACACGCAATAAAAAAATCGAACATCATCGCTAAACGCAACGCTGACCGCCACCGCAGACTAGTCACTTACCAGCCCGACGACTTAGTTTTACTTGACACTCAGAACCTCCGACTGCCCATCACCCCGAAACTCCGCCCCCGATACTGTGGGCCATCTCGCATAAGCCACATGCTTACACCCGTCACCGCCCACCTCCTCCTCCCTGCTGACAAGTACGTCGACCCCTCATTCCTCGTCAGCCTACTTCGCCCTTACGTCCCGTCCACAAGCCAACTGCCACGCAATCGCCCAGCCAGCATGACACGACCGCCGACTGAACCAATCATCACCCCCGAGAAGATTCTGAGTCACAGAGTTCGCGACCCTCGAGGAGCCCGAAGGATCGAATTCCTGATCCGCTGGAAAGACCGTACACCCTCCGAAGACAACCGGGTTCCCCTGGACAACATCGAAAACCACCCCTTCCTCACCGAGTATCTCCGCAGCCGAAACTTCAGGGATGTACGCGCTTTTTCGTAAGGAGGACCTCCTTAATGGGGGGGGGGGGGGGGGGGGGGTAAGTGTAAGGAAAATTCCTTTTCCTTACTTCTCGTCCCCGCTCAGCGCGTACACCACTGTAGCACCACAGTCAGCACCGTTACCACTCGGAACTCTCGCATCGACAATCCTCCCGCCACCTTCGCACGTCGCACCCCGACCTCACGGCTCGGCGGGTAACCCGCGCTCCGGGCCTCCGCTTCGACATTTTTCCCAACCTCAGTCCCAGGCCCGTCGCGCGACAACCACAGTCCATTACCGTTACCACTGTAGTTTCGCTATATATTATTCGCTCATGCCTTCGCTCATTGTACTTGTGCTTTGAAAGAGCAATTCTCGTTCCCTCACTCAATTGCACTCGTAACAATAACCAACTCCTGAAAATGCGCGACACTGGATCAAAGCTGTTTTCAACATAGGGTGAAGAGCACCAAACCCTGACGTGGGCCTTCTGTTTTGCATAGTTGTTAGAGTCACTCTAGAGAGGTCATCATAATGGTCAAGTATCCAGGTTCATACAAAATTCACACTTGCAACAAGGACACCTGAATTCTCCAGTAAGCCTCCTCTCTCTGATCTCTGCTACCGTAAGTTGGCCTTTGTGTGAAATTAAAAAACACGTTATTCAACTCGCACCATCTGAAGTCTTCATCTAGATTTCACACTTGCGACAAGGCCACCTGGATTCTCCTGTAAGCCTCCTGCCTGACCCCTGCGAGGTTGGCTTTAATCTCCTTGGATATTCTCCCCTCCACCAAGGCCACAGGCAGCCAGAAGTGTGGGGTCAGCTCAACCGAGTAGGAGAGGGTGGTGGGGCCAGAGGGGGAGCCGGGCAGCTGGGGAAGGAAATGGGATGTTGGGGGGAGGGAGTGGGGAGGGTTGGTTGATTGGAATCTCGTCCACTTGGGCCACAGGCAGCCAGAAGTGTGTGGGGTCAGCTCAACCGAGTAGGAGAGGGTGGTGGGGCCAGAGGGAGAGCCGGGCAGCTGGGGAGGAGGGACGGGGGAGAAAGAGGGGGAGGGGAGGGAGAGGGGAGGGAGAGAAGGACGGAAGGAAAAGGGGGAGGGAAGGGAGAGAGGGAGGAATTTTCACAAAATCAATTCTTTGAAAGCTCAACCAAGCAAGAGAGGGTGGTGGGACCGTAATGCAAGCTCATGGGAGGGTGGTGGGACCGTAATGCAAGCACATGGGAGGGTGATGGGACCGTAATGCAAGCACATGGGAGGGTGATGGGACCGTAATGCAAGCACATGGGAGGGTGATGGGGCAGATATGAAGTGTAAGAGCTGGTAACAAAGGGATGCAGAGGAGGGTGTGAAATAAAAGAGTTAAAATGTATTTTTATCATTATTCATAATCATCATCATCATAGTAATGCACATTTAGCCAGGAGTCTGCAAGCTGGTAAATGAAGGATGCCGTGTCAAAAGCGTAGGCCAGGGACGAACAGAGCCTTTGAACTATCCCCCCTCCCTTCCCCGCTCTTTTTCCCCCTCATCCCCGCCATCCCCTCTCCCCCCATTTTGAGAATTCTCAAAAACCATTCCCTCCATAACCCGAAGTGCACAAGAGCGGATACTCAAGGACAATTTTCAAAAACCAGCTGATTAATCTGAGCAGGCTCACCTGCTCCTCAAGAGTCCACACGCCCACAAACTTTTGAAAGTCGCCCTCCACCATCTTGAAGTGGACGTGGTGAGAGGCAAGCACGGAGCAATGAAAAAATGTAGCCACCCACCCCACCAATGCTCACCTGCTCATCAAGAGTCCACACGCCCACAAACTTTTGAAAGTCGCCCTCCACCATCTTGAAGTGGATGCATCGCCTCCTAATGCTGCCGCCCACCCTACCAATCACAGCATCACTCTCCTCTCCGCTGCTGCTGCTGCTGCTGCTGCAGTCGGTGCTGCTGAAGCTTCTGGGAAGGTCACGAGGCAGGCGCTCCTCCTCCCCTTCTTCCACATCCACCACCACCTTGGCTCTGAACTTGATGCCCATCGCCACGTCCTGCTCGCCCACCTGTGAAGGTTACATTACGATATGATATGATTCATTGCGTTAGGATATGATATGTTACTGTACTGTTGGCCTTGCGTCCACCACCACCTTGGCCCGGAACTTGATGCCCATCATCGCCACGTCCTGCACGCCCACCTGTGAATGGGCAATGTAAGATATGATACGATACGACGCATGACAAAGCAAGACACACTATGGTACTGCTGGCGTCACATCCACCACCACCACCACCTTGGCCCTGAACTTGATGCCCATCGCCACGTCCTGCTCCCCCACCTGTGAAGAATATGATATGATATGATATGATTCATTACAATAGAATATGATCCAAGTCTCTACAATAGCACACAGCGTGATACTGTACTGCTGTCCTCACATCCACCTACACCTTGGCTCGACACCTGATGCTCATGCCCACTTCCTGCTCTCCCAACTGAAGGGTAGGATGAGACAAGATAAGACAGGATAGATTATGATGTTGAATATATTCCGATACAATTACTGCTGCCGAATACACTCATTCAAACCTCTAGACCCATCATTAATGCCCTGCACTCATTCAGACCACCTTTTGAGAGAGGGGGGGAGACCCCATACTCATGTGCACAATGTCATCCCCGTTGCAAGCATCTTCCCCAAACCTCCATAAGCTTCGTACCTGCAGCAGCCTGGCTCCGTTGCTTCGGCGCTGCAGCATCTGATTGGTCGCCAGGGACGGAATAAAATCCGCGAGCCGCTCATAGTCGGTCAGCACGCCCCACACCACGTCAGCACTCGCGGGAACCACGACGCGCGCGCTCACGCGCCGCGAGTTGCTTCCCAGAATCTCCACGCTCGCGTCGCCGCCACTCGCGGCGTCTCTGGCGCTCGCGGCGCGAGTTGCGGCAGCCTCAGCGGAAGGCGCGCCCTCGTCGGACATCCTAGCTGCCACGTCATACGAGCGCAGAATGCGGCGGGACAGCCGGGACTCTCTCCGGCCGTGATCGAGGAAAGAAGCGGACCGAAATCTAAAAGATCCTGGCTTGCTCCCGGTTCGAAGAAGCAAGTTCGAGGAAGCATCGCAGCTGGGAAGCTGACAAACATTGCGAGCGGCTGGAAACTTCCTATCGCGTCGAATCAAACGGGGAAGATATTTGGCAAAAAGTGGAGGTCTCGAAACCTCGTTGCTGAGGGCCGCATGAGCCATGATGGCCGAACAAAAATATTACAAGAGAAAAACTCAATAGATGGGAAGGAGAGGAAGGACGAGCAAAATCAACGTTCTGGGGTTTGCCCCGGTTTCCCCGACACGTGGTGCACTTTGCAGCGGTGCAAATGCCGCACTATGCGCTGACCACAAGGAAAACACGAAGTTTATGGGAAATAATATGCGGTGCCTCTGGTTTCCCCCCTCCATTTTCAAAGAGAAAATTGGATGGAGGTGGTGGGGGTGAAGAAGCAGACGGCAATGTTGTACGCTTTATAAGTCGTTTTGTTAGCAATATATATCTAACACAGGTAGTTTTAGTAAAACAACATCGATATTCTTCCGCTCCAACTCATGGCGCTGGAACCATGGAAACAGAGCGTGCACTTGAAACACGAGCTATTGAACGGACAAGAACCTTCATCTCGGCACGCCCGATGTCCCAGCATCACCCTCCACCGTCGAATCGCAGCATCATCGCCCGTCATCGGACCATCATTTCTGCGACCCGCAAACTTCAACGTTAATCAGGCGAAGCTTAACTCAGCCGATCCGCAACCCTCGATCGCGGTCTCGATGCGACGCGAGCGTTCGCCGGAAAAGGCACGCATCGCCGCTGGGGCAGGATACATACGCGCTCGAATCCGAACAAGAAAACTTGTTATGAGGCGCCTCGAGAAGAGAAGCACGCGGCGCCGCGGGGCCGGGTTAATATATACGCGTTCGACGTAGAGTCGAAGACGCTAGTTCCGCAGGGCCTTGTTTCGGGCGAACCGCCATCAAGTGAAGCAACTGTGTCGCTCGGGACGCCGAAACTCATCGCACGTCGACGCCGCCAGGTGACAACCGGCGGCGCGAAGCGATGCGTTGCTGAGTCGCCCACGTGAACACCGACAGCAGCCGGTCGTCGTCGTCGCGTCGGCATTCGTCGCTTCCGGGAGTAGTAATACTATTAGTAGAGGAACTAGGACTGATCATTGGCGACGCAGTCCGCGCCGCGTGACGCTGCGCCGAGCTCTGCGGCGAGCTCGCTGCCGAGCCGCCCTGCGCCGCACTGGTTGTGCTCCCGACGCGCGGAAGCTCCAGCGGACAAGCCGCCGGCCCGCGAACCGCGTTTCTCGCAAGGTAGGAGTCCGAGCTTGCGCGGTGAACCGCGGGACGCGCCACGTCTGTCGCGGCAGTAGTCGGTGAGTACGGCTTTGGTTGCGGTGGTAGTTGCGCGGCAGCGGCGACGGCCCATGATGCGGCGGCGGCGGCGGCGGCGGAGGCCACACGAGATTCTTCGATGGAACGGCGGCGGCGCGACAGGGTCGATGGGGGGCCTGTTACTGAGTCTAACGCGGGACTGCTGAGCGATCGCACGCCACGCCGCAGGCTGTTTCGGGTGTTCGCAGAACCGTTGGGCGACGCGTTGCTGTCGCCGGCTGTCGCACGGTTCCACATCTCGAGTCGGGTGTCGAGGCGGGAAAATCGAGCGGGGCCGGCCTTGTTGGGATCAGTAGCAGCAGCAGCAGCAGCGGAATCAGCGGGAGCTTGAGAGGACTCGATGAAAAAAACGGGAGCAGGCCGATCGGCGTGGTTAGACGACGAACACATCTTGTGGGACTTGCAAACTAGGTGCGCGGGACGAGACTTGCAAAATAGGTGCGTGGGATGTGACTTGCAAATAAGGCACAAGACTTGGTAAACTCTACGAATCCAACGAGCCCTTACGCTCCCTAAATAAGGCTGGGATTCTCTTCAAGCTCAAAGCTGTGCGCTGTTAAGGGGCTGTCAGTCTCCCTCAGTGTCTTCCCCTCCCCACTAGCAGCTGGAATAAAGTTGGAGCTTGGAAGCACCTTCCACTGTGGTGCACTCATTTCTGTTCGTCTGCCTTTCGGTTTTGCAATGATGGTAACCACCAGCGAATAATGCCGAAGAGCATTCAGCTCATCTCGAAGAAGGCAGAGAAGGGCCCACGTTTCCCACCAAGCGTCATCGACTGTAGATTTGGTTGGCGAACTGAGCAGCGAAGGTTGGAGGGGAGTTGCTTGTGCACCATGGAACGCACGTGTCCACGCAACTGCCGTTGGCGCTTCGACTCCTTATCTTTTTCGATTTGCCCCATTCCGTACATGCCCACCCCATAAGGGCACAAGAGGGAGTTTAACAACTTCGACAGCTGGCTGGGTCCACAAGGAACAGACTACAGTGCCTACCTGTGGTAATTCTCACTGCAGTTCCGAAACTGAGAGGAATTTGTCAAGAAATCTCGACCGCACAGCAAGATGTGTGAAAATAGAAACGCAAGATTACGTACGACTGCTCGTTCCTCGCAAAATCTATCAAAAAGGGTACAGCTGAGCAGCAGCTGTCTGTTCACATGTGTTCTATGGGCATTCGTTGGAAAAACGGAAATAAGTACACCTGATCCCCGTTCGAGTCCTCCCTACTTGGGTTGTTTTTTGGGCTTATGAACGTTCTAGGCATGTCGCCCAGTTCGTTCCATTTCGCCATGGTGTTGAGGTGCTTCTAAAAAACACAGGTTGTAACTCGTTTGGTTTTTTCAAAACAGTGCTGGTTGGCCTGTGTTGTTGTCAGTTCAGGGTTTTGGGTTTATGCTTGTTTCTGGCCAAGAAACAAGAACCTACTGGGTCAGCATGGTTTGTTTTGCGCCTAAGATTCATACTTCGGCGTTTTCTCGCCCAGATGCAAGTTGATCCGCGTGCCTATAATCTGGGTGCAACTGAGTGGGAAAAAAAACACGGGTGCAGAGTTTCTGAAATGTGAAGACAAATTTGCGCGCAGTGGCTGGGCGTCACGTGTACAGTACAGGACAGCTTTTGTTTCCCCTCTGTTCAGTTTTTCTATGCCAGGGTTTCCGGATTTGAAGTTCTCAATCCACCCTTGTAGCCAAGCAAATAAGATTTAGTTACGTGTGAAATCACTCCACGAAATCACTCCAGTGGGGAGGTATCTTTGGTCGGAAACCAATGATGACAAAATCGTGGAGGAATTTCATGGCTCCTTTGTTCTTCATCCTCGTCACTGCGGTGAACCAACATGCCTAAAAGTAATACCGGCACCTACATCTGTTGGAACCAATGTTACAACACTAGAATACTAAAGTAGCACATCTATTGGTAGGAGTCATTGTGATTTCAACATATTTTGGGCAGAACCCCAACCCGTACAACAGCCAACCTATTGGTGTTTGCCAAATTCCTTTACCTTCCCATTTTTCCCCCACATCAATGTCACTTTATCCTCTCCATGCCCCTTCTATCTTCATATACTGGTACCACCTATAAGGCCCCATTTTCATTGCTTGCTTCGACACTTAGAAAGCTCTCGCTTCGGTTTAATTCTTGCTTAAAGGCCACACCCCGAATTACACAACGTAGTCAACGAAAAAAAATGTAGGTTCGGGAAACCCCAGAGACAGGTTCGGTGGGGAAATCGAGAACCAATCTCGTCAAAAACCCGCTCAAAACCCTCGACCAATCACACGAAAGTGGTGACAGTTTTGGGGCCGACACGGTAATTCTGGATGTGTCCTTCAACTTTTGTGCTACAAACTTTAATCCAGGTAACAGATTTCCTCCTTGTTTTGAAGGTCCTCGACATAGTACCCAGTAAAATATGCCCATTTTTCAGGCCCTTTTTCTTGTATTCAAAACTCCCCACAATGCAAAATGCCCCTGCGCCTCAGTTCCGGCCCATTTTCTTGGCCTTCTTCCTCCTTGCCCTCTCTTCCTCCTCCCTTGCTAATAACTCCGCCTCCCTCTCGTCCTCTTTTCGAGCAATCAGAGCACTGCATAGGATGAGGACGAGGATGAGGATGAGGATGAGGATGAAGATGAGGGTGAGGATTAGGATGAGAATGAGGATGACGAGGAGGATTAGGAGGAGGAGGATTAGAGGTGCCACAGAGACGTCACACAGACAAGGCCGAGAGAGAAGCGACACGTACAAGCCACAAAAATTCAGTCAACTGAGGGAAGGGTAGACAAAGAGGACGGGAGGGAGACACATACGAATTTACCCAATCCGATCTTTCTCACCTCCACTCCTCCACTGATTAAATTGACTTTTGAGTCGACTCAAAAGTCACCCCAATTGACCCAATCCGATCTCTCTCACCTCCACTCCTCCACTGAATGAAAACCTGCCGCTCCCTCCCCTCCCACTGAATTGCATTGCTCAGTCTTTCAACCCCCATTGAACCAGCTCCCTCACCTTCTCCTCTCCTCCGCCATCAACTGGCTGAACCCGACCTCCATGGTATCCTCGGCATCGCTGTCATGTGCCTTTTGAGTCGGTCCCTCCCAACAAGTCACCCGAATCTCTTCCGCTCCTTTCTTTCGCCGTCAATATCTTGTTCACACTGATAAGAACAACAGCTAACTACATCACCTTCTTCTCTCCTCCGCCATCAACTGGCTGAACCCAACCTCCACGTTGTCATCGTCATCATCGTCCCTTGTGACTCCATCCACAAGTCACCTGAATCTTACATTTTGTTGCCAACCAACAACTAACTCCAACCCCCGTGTGATGAGTCGATTTTTAAGTCGACTTAAAAATCGACTCATCACATGTTGCCAACCAACAACTAACTCCAACCAACAACTAACTCCAACCAACAACTAACTCCAACCAACAACCAACTCCAACCAACAAACCAACTCCAACCAACAACTAACTCCAACCAACAACTAACTCCAACCCCTCTCACCTTCTCCTTTCTTCCGCCATCAGCTGTGTTTTGAGTCGACTCAAAACACACCTTTTGAGTCGACTCAAAACACACCTTTTGAGTCGACTCAAAACACACCTTTTGAGTCAACTCAAAACACACCTTTTGAGTCGACTCAAAACAACTAACTCCAACGCCTCTCACCTTCTCCTTTCTTCCGCCATCAGCTGGCTGAACCCGACCTCCATGTTATCGTCGTCGTCGCTGTCATATGCCGGCCCCATGTGGTTCTCCCTGTGGTTGCGCCTGTGCGAGCAGGGAAAGAAATGAGGGAGGAAGAGATGAAATGAGTGGAGCAAACACAATTTGTTACCTAGTCGTTTCAGCATGCGGGCGGAAAAACAAGAGGGGGGGGAAGGGGTTAGGGTAAAACCTCCTGATATGCCTACCAGAAAATGATCATGCTTCTCGGTGCGGCCGAGCAGAGGAGCATGAGCGTGTGTGTGAGAAATTGGTCTACCGCATGCTTCAATCCACATCATCATTCTCCTCAATTCTGCATCCCAGTTTCCCAGGCCCACTCCACCCCCATGGTCCATCTCTCTCCCCCCCCTCCCTTCCCCTCCACCCACTCCCCACCCTCCTTCCCCATAGGCCCTTGACTCACACTCAGGAATGGAAAATGACAAACATCGTAAACCACTATTACATTCCCAACCGTTCCAAGTCATACCAGCACAACCCCCCGTCCCCATCACGTGGCACCTCTGCCATACCTAAAGATGGCATCCCCCATGCGACATGGAAGCACATATCCATCCATCCCATAGCCTGTTCACCACACCTGAACATGCTCAGAATGGAACTGCCCGGCAAATCGACCCCATCACCCATACCTGAACTGAACATGTCACGACTCACACCCCATTCAACCCATTCATACCTGAACATGCTCAGAATGGAACTGCCCAGTAGTCCTCCTCCTCTCCCTCCCCTCCGCCCATACTCCTCCTCATCCTCATCACTCCCCACAACAAACGAATCCTCCTCCTCCTCATCCTCCTCTTCCTCCTCTCTCCTCCTCTTAACTGGCAATCCCCTTCCGCCTGCTCCCCTCTCCCCTCCTCCCCTCCCTCCAAATCTATCACCTCCTCCTCTACCTCCCATCCTTTCGCCCCCTCCCCTCCCCCCCATCCTCTCTCCATCCCTCCTAAGAAGGCCTCTATCTGCTTCTCTCTGTGCCCCCATTCGACCCGGATCTCTCCGAACCTCCATCCCTGGCTTGGGCCGAGCCATGCCAGCAGGTCTGGCTGGTGCAGAGCCAAGCGGTTTGTTTGACATAGGGGGCGGTTGGGTGCGGTGGGGAGGGGCAGAACCTGGTTGCGGGTTCTGCAGGGAACATAGGAACAAGAGGATGGGAAGAAATGAAAGAGGCGGGGGGGTAGAGGGGGGAGGAGGGGGTTGAGGGTGAATGAGAAGGAAGAGAGGAGTATGGGGGGAGGACTCAGAGTAGATGAGAGGGGAGAGAGGAGCATGGGGGGTTGGGATTAAGGAGAAAGGAGAGAGGATGGGGTGTGTGGGAAGGGGGGGGGTGGTTCAGGGCCAATGACAGCGGAGAGAGGAGTATAGGGGGGGGATTCAGGGAGAATGAGAGGGATAGTCGATTACAGGTTAGAGTCAGAAGGGGTGGTGAGAAATGATCGAGACCAGGAGGAAGATTGAGTGTGGAAGCAAGGAGAATACCTTGACGGGCCGATCGTCATAGCCCCCGCCCCGCCCACTCATCCCATACGCTCCATGGCCCCCCCTGTCTGCTTTATCCCGCCCATCCAACCGCCTCCCATCACCATCCCTTCGAACAATGTCCCCTATCCCTATCCTACCACTCCCTCCTACCCCTCCACCTCCTCCTCCTCTCCCTCCGACTCCCACCGCGCCCACTCCTCCTCTCCCGCCCACACTCCCCCTTCCTACCGACCCTCTACCATCCCCTGGCCTCACTACTCCTCTCCCCCCACCTGCAGCCCCCATTCCACCAGCACCGGAACCACCACCAAAACCCCCGCCTGTACCAGCACCAGCACCAGCACCAGCGCCAGCTGCTCTGTTTACAGGCCGTTGCTGCTGGGTACTCCCACTGCTGTGGCCGATGCTGCCCGCCCCTCTGTACCCCTCTCCATCCCTCTGCACGCCCCTGTCCCTATGCCCGTCCATGTCTTTATGCGCATCCCTGTCCCTAGGAATCTCCCGTTCCTTCACCCCATTCCTGTCGTTGTGAAAGTCCCTGTAAGGGTCCCTTTGCCCCTCCCTTTGCCCTTCCCTGTAACCGTCTTTATGTGCCTCTCGGTGCCTCTCGGTGTGCCTGTCGGAGTGACTCTCTTTGTGTCTCTCGTGCTCTCTCTCGCTGTGCCTGCCGTTGTGCCCCTCTTTATGCGAATGGTGGTGCCCACCCCCACTCCCATGCGAAGTGCTTTCGTTTCTCATTCTCCCCATCCCACCATCCTTCCCCCTCTCCCTATCTCTCTCCCTCTCCATTTCCCTGCCTCTATCCCTCTCCTTCTCCCTCCCCTTCTCCCTCTCATCCCACCGGCCCCCCACATCCCGAGCCTCTTCAACCCTCCTCCCCCCTCCCTCAGTCCGAACCCTTGCGTCCGGCCCGGCGGCAGTCATCGGTCGCCGAACCTGCCCGTCAGGTCCGGTAGAAGCCATCGGCCGGCCAGGCACGGGCTTCGCAGACTTCGCAACATGTGAAGGCGGCTGCTGACGTGGCGGGTCTCTAAACTGGTCCTTGGAAAGCGGAGGGGTACTGAGGGATCTCGGAGGGGCTGTGTGCGGTCTAGGCGGGGTGACTTGGGACCGGGAGGGAGGTGGTTTCTGCTTGGAATCTGTTGAGAACAGAAAGGAGAAGTCCCGGTTCTCCTTGAGTCGCTTCCGTTTCGCCTCTTCCTGTAAATAGCAGCGGTGGAAGGGAATGGTGTGGGGTGGAAGGGGATGATATGGGGTGACAGGGGATGGGATGGGGGAGAACAGGGGCATGGAAAGGACTGGGGCAGAACTCGACCTGCTGGTGCCTTCTTCGCCCCTCCAGGCCTTCCTGCCTCTCCCCTCAGCAACTGCAATAAGATCCCCTCAATCCCACTCACCTCAGCAAGGAGCAGCCTCCTGTCGTCCCGGTAAGCCGCCTCTGGTGCTTTCTTCGCCCCTGCAGGCCTCCCTGCCGCACTCGCCTTGTTGCCACTGCGTGCCTTCTCCGCCTCCTGCCAGTGACAGCGCACACACATGCAATGCACAGGGGACATGCATGGTATTTGCTGCGTTCTTATACCCTACTCCTACTCCGCCTGCTGACGAGCCTACTGACGAGCAAAACTTCCAAAATTATCTCATCCTATTAAAAGCTCACCTCACTCTACTCCTTACCCCACGAGCGAATGACTCGACTCAGAAGAGCAGAGTGCATCCCAACCTACGGAAACGCTTACCTCGCGCTTCCGCTGGGCCTCGCGAGCGGCCATGGCCTGAGCCTCCCGTCGGATCCGCTCCGCGTCCACCACGGTCTTGGCGATCGCCACCTTCGAAGGCCCGAAGAACGACCCCCAGTTGCTGCAGAGAAGGAGGGGATACGAACAAGGGAGGCAAGGGGGTTTTCACATTGGAACGAGGGTGAGTGAGTTGACGCGTCCACCACGGTCTTGGCGATCGCCACCTTCGAAGGCCCGAACAAGGACCCCCAGTTGCTGCAGGCGGGGAGGGGATCGCATAAGGCGATTTTTGATTTGATAGTAAAATCACCGTTTTGGCGATCGCCACCTTCTGAGGCCCGAGAAAGGATGCTAAGTTGCTGGAGCGTGGCTTTTGAGTCGACTCAAAGGTCACCTCGACCGCCACCTTCTGAGGCCCGAGAACGGACCCTCAGTTGCTGGAGGAGTGGAAGGGGATTGAATGAGCGAAGCGAGGAATTTTAGATTCAAGCGAGACTTGTGTCGAAACAAGCTGAAGTCTCGCTTCAGCTAGTTGATTGAACTGAAGGAGGTTTGACGAGAAGATCTGCGTGCGATAAAAAAACGACGGGAAGGAACATCTCACTTCTCTACCGCACGTGCCGGTCGACTTAAGAATTCGACAAAAAAAACAAGAATATTGTTCTTCGATCCAAGCAATCCTTCTCCCTGGTCTATCCATGGGGCGAACCTTCCATTCTTCTTCGGATCGCCACTGCCATGCGAGGGTCCGTCTCCTCGTCCTGCTCTCTCAGACCGACCGTTCCCGTAACCGTCATACTCGTCCCGCTCTCTTCTGTCACTCCCGCCATAAGCTCTCCCGCTACCACTCCCCCCTCTTCCTCCACCGCCTCCTCCTCCCCCTCCCCCTCCCCGTTTATCCTTGTAACCATCGCCATAACCATCACCATCGTCATCGTCTATGAAGTCGTCGTCGTCGTAACCATACTGATGATTGTGGTAACCACCCGCATCGTCTTCGTCGTCGTCGCCGTATCTTGACGATCCTGGTCGGCCTTTGTTCTTCTGTCGAATCAGCTCCTCTAGCTTGTTACGGCGCTCCAAATCTGCCATCTGATTAAAACTTCAACGGGATCCAGCTAATATTGTCCAGGTTATGAGACGATTCAGAAGTAACTTCCAGCTGATTTGACCAGGTTTCTGATCCCTAAAAGGCCTTATTCACCTGATGCTTCCAGATGGCTCTAGCAAGCAGGTCAATCACACCTTACAGATCAACCACCCTATCACAGAATTCACTCATCCAGAAAGTACAAGCGCTGGAGAGTGAAGTTGTCGTGAAATTATATCTGTGGCTGCTAACCTAAACGTCAATAGTATTCTTTCCAAATAGTCCCTCAAAGACGCTTACTAACTGCATCGATCAACGAATAAGAAGGAACTAACGTGAAATGTCAGTAGCATCAATAAATCCGCTTCTTGGCCGACGAAAACCCGGACTCTTATCAGTCAGCTGACGTTCCTGGAGAAAGCTAGAAACCTCATTCTTCTCTAAATCGCCACTTTACAGACCACCTAAACTCTCGCTTAGAAATCCGTCGGTAGTTTGCTGGTCCAACACTCCGCTAGGAACTGAACGTTCTAGGTCTGACAACAGCAAAAGAACTTGAATACAGGAATGTGACAGTCATTGGATGGTCGATAGGTCAGGCATGAGAAATCCGGCAACATCCATGGATGGATGATCCTCCCTAAGGACGTGGTTAAAGTGCTCGATCGGGGGGAGATCGATCCGGTCACCGCACTGAAACCCCGCGTTTTGCAACAAAAGGTACACAAACGTTTACAAACGGGCTAAGAACGATCCTGAGGCGATCGATTCTCCACTTATACCGCGTCCTCAAACTGGTGTTGCTGAAACTGGTGGTGGGGGAAGGGATGCAGATTATGTGGCTGGGATGATCTTGCTCAAGTTGCTGGTTGCCAGACGCCGAAACGGAGGAATTTTTGCGAAAGAAAGTCGCTGCGCTCGAATCGTGTATCGTTCACCTTGTCGTTTCTGTTCGAGAATGTCATTACAGGTGACCACATTCTCGGAGGTCCTGGTACTCAGAACTCAGAATTCAGAAAATTCTCATTCTGACGAGCCGCAACAACCAAACAGCTCTGACAGATCAAACTGAGCGCGTACTATGATGCGTATTTAATATAGTGTATGACTGTAGGGAAAATTCCTTTTCCTTACTTCGCATCCCTGCTCAACACGTACATCACTCTAGCACCACAGTCAGCACCGTTACCACTCGCAACCCTCGCATCGACAATCCGCCCGCCACCTTCGCACATCACACCCCGACCTCACGGCTCGGCGGGTAACCCGCGCTCCGGGCCTCCGCTTCGACACTTTTCCCCACCTCAGTTACAGGCCCGTCGCGCGACAACCACAGTCCATTACCGTTACCACTGTAGTTTCGCTATATATTCTTTGCTCATGCCTCCGCTCATCGTACTCTTACTTCGATAGTGCAATTCTCGTTCGTTCACTCAATTGCACTCGTAACACTTGATATTCAGAGCCTACGATCTCCACTCGGACCGCACCCACACCTTCGCTTCCCCACTATCTCAATTTTTTGGGGGGGGTAGACGTCTCTCAGCGACACAACACCGCCGCTCGTAGTGCTCTCTCGTAAGCACGCATGGCCACGACCGAGGCTCTCGCTGAGCTCGCCCGACACCCGTGCCATGGCCGAATTCACGCTCGCCACATTGACGCAAGAGCAGCTCGACCGTCTGGTGCGCCATCTTGAAGATTCGGCGCTCGAAATCGCGACGCTCACGGCGGAACGTGACTCCGTACGTCAGCAATCAACGACGAACACTCCAGCGCCACCACACGCACCGACAAATACATATGCACAATCACACGAGCCGATCGGCATCTTGTCCGGCACACCGACACAAAACAACAGCGTGGGACAGCGCTCAAGCGCAGCCAGCGATGGCGCCGCCCAGCCGATGCCTGGCATGGGAGGAAACAGGGTTGATCCTGTCAGAATCCCAACCACTAGACCATTGGGATAAAATGGCTTGTTTCAGTAGCGGGTCAGTGCGCCCATAACCCCCCAGGCAAACGCGCCTGTAACCCCCCCTAGGATCGATCGGGGATCTCACAGTGTAGCTCTACTAACACCCCCCCACACTGGGAGGCCCAGGACTGAGCACAGTGGCAACGGCCGACATGTGCATACACCGGGATTCGAACCCGAGACCGCTCTGATACCATCTCAGAATCCCAACCACTAGACCATTGGGATAAAAGGGCTTGTTTCAGTAGCGGGTCAGTGCGCCCATAACCCCCCAGGCAAACGCGCCTGTAACCCCCCCTAGGATCGATCGGGGATCTCACAGTGTAGCTCTACTGACAGATCCAAACCCGCAGGAGCCTCGCGAAGCCCGTCGGCACGTGGAGTTCGCGGTGACAAGTGACGAACAAGCCATTATGGCACCAATGCCACTCAAGCCGCAATGCCCGCCCTGCTTCGACCCGAGCCAGCGTAGAGGTCCGACGGTTCAATCGTGGGTCTTCACGATGAACGTCTTCTTCGACGCGAATTACGTCGAGTCGGACGCATCGAAGATTCGATATGTCGTTTCGCTGCTAAGGGGCCCCACCATGGACTCGTGGCGAGTCATCGTGACGTCGCCACGCGCCTACGAGCCACCGTCGCAAGAGGAAGGGCCCACGGGCCCAGCTGTCACCTGGAGTTCATTCTGCGAGACCGCCCAATACAGCACGTGGGATGCGTGGTGCGCAGGGCTTCGGGCGCGCTTCGAGCTGATCGCGGCTTCTATTTCGGCGCGTCAAAGATTGCGCACTTAGCGGCAGCTTGGATCGGTTCAAGACTATACGAGTGGTTTTCTCGCATTATGCGAGCAAGTCGGCTACATGCACGAAGCGCAGTGGGTGGACCGTTACGTCGGAGGACTGAAGCCGGACATCTCGCACGAAATCGTGCTACGCGGGCTCTCCAACTTCAACGAGATTCTTGCGCTCGCCGAGAAAATCGACATTTTACGCCGTACGAGACCTGGGTCCTACTATGAACATCGTCCTCGGGGACCGATCGAGCACGCCACTGTACACGCTGTTGCGACGAATGCAGCTGCCGCGTCGTTTAAGGGCCGCTTCTTTGCTTGCAACAGGCCGGGCCATCGCAAGAGCGAATGCCCACAGGAGCTAAGGCGTCACGGAGCAGAGCGGGGGAGGGAGTCTCCAAAGCAGGGAAACGCCAGCAGCCAGTAGGAATCGGGCCAACTACTGACGAGACTGCCTGCTCGCCCAACCCCACCGACCCTCACCGATTCACAGTACCAATTCATGCTATCGGGACTCGAACGAATAAGGAGTGTACAGCGACGGATTGCCCAGTACTAATCCACGGGAAAATAAAGGGAGTAGCAGTGAAGATTTTTTTCGACGGAGGAGAAAGCCATAGTTTAGTTAATACCGCAAACGCACGAAAACTGCAGGTGACACTTAGCCGTTGCTTACCGGAGATAGACGCACACTTAGTCGACGGCACGCCACTGGCCATACGGGAACAGGTAGAGAGAGTCAAAGTCCGCTGCGGAGGAAATTTCGGGTTTACACAGGAAATGCTCGCAACGACACTGGATGGGGACGACATTTCACTGGGACGTGATTGGCTGAGACGGTATAACCCGCGAATTGACTTACTGCGAATTCGCTGAGACGGATTTACTGCGGAAGGGGGTCACTTTTACGTGGGGGGAGAGAGAGCATGCTGCCTTCTCTGCCCTGAAAAATGTTATCTTTTCACCGCCCGTCCTGCGCATCGCCGATCCATACCGCCCATTCGAAGTAGTTATCGATGCAAGCGATATCGCCATCGGAGCCGTACTGCTACAATATTTCGGCAATGGCCTACAGCCTATCGCATACGAGTCACGAAAACTGCATCCGCCCGAGAAAAATTACCCGATACACGACCGCGAAATGCTTGCGATCGTGCACGCATTCAAAGTATGGCGCTGTTACTTGACTCGCGCGGACGTGACAGTATGGACAGACCATAAATCACTACAGTACCTCCGCGCACAGCCACACCTCAACCCACGACAGATTCGCTGGCCCGATTTCCTCGAGTCCAACTTTCACTACACGGTCACTTACAAAAAGGGAGCCTCGAACATTGCCGACGCACTGACCCGCCCCACTGCCCAGATCCACGCAATACTACTTGCCCAGACAAGCCCGCTACTGACAGGCCTATTCATCCACGGGTACCAAACGGATCCATTCTTCACAGGAGGAAATTTGCAACAGCTCGCAGTAGTAATGGGAGTCTATTACGTAAAAACCGGGACTGACCGCGTTTAGGTGCCTGGGTATACACTGCTACGGGAATTACTGTTACATGAGGCACACGACGGAGTTACCTCGGGGCATTTCGAAGTAGAAAAAACACAACAGCAGCTGCAGCGGTATTATTACTGGCCCGGAATGTTGACCGACGTACAACGACACGTGGCATCGTGTCCCACTTGTCAGCTCATGAAATCATCACGAGAGCGGCCGGCGCGACAGTTGCAGCCGATACCACCCCCAGAGCGTGCTTCGCAGCAGGTGACGATGAACTTCGTCATGGGGTTACCAGCCGGGGCGAGTGGGAACGACGCGATCCTGGTCGTCGTCGATCGACTGACGAAAATGGCACATTTCGCAGCCTGCAAAAAATCAATCACAACCGAAGAAACAGCATGCTCCTTCATCTCCACCGTCGTTCGACTTCACGGGATACCAGCCGCGATCATCAGCGACCACGACACGAAATTCACTAGCATCTTCTAGCGGAACCTGTGGCAGCAGTTCGGCACGCAACTGCAGTTCAGTTCATCATACCACCTCGAAACCGACGGAGAGACAGAACGGACAAATCAGACCATGGAATAGCTCATCAGGGCCACGTTTGACGACCCGACCACGTGGGAACAGCAACTACCATTAATTGAACTCGCGTACAACAACTCGTCATCCGCCACGACCAAACAGTCACCATTTTACCGAAACTACGGACAAGACCCGAAAG